TTTTAAAAATAAAAATATAAATACTCAACTAATGTCACGAAGTAGTGAATTCTTTATTTCTACTAAATCTTTTAACGTAAAATTTTTCCAAAATTTAAAATCATTATTAAATTTCTATTTTAAAATAAAAAGAAAGGTCAATTCATCATTAATAAAATTTGCCACATAAGCAACCAATAAAGACTTGCCATCTCACCTTAATATAACCCATATAAGCTTGTCTTTTGGCAACTTTTTAGCAAACGGAGTCTTAAATATTATATTAAAAGATTATATTTTTTTATAACTAAAAAGAAATTTTTATACAATCCTTTTTTAATTATGAAACATTATAAAAGCTTAAGTGAGATTGTAACAAAAAGCACCTTAGCTTGGATGGTTAGCAACTCAACTAAATGACCAAAAGATCCTTGTTTCAAACCCCATGGTGGTATGCTTTTGGAAAAAAATTACAAAAAAGAACTGGCCAAACCGGTCAAACCGATCGGTTTGTCTAAAAGGGTGACATATTAGCTCGCCACATGTCGCGCTTTAACTTGCCAAATGTCACCACATCAACTCGCCACATGTCGTGCTTTAGCTCTGCCAAATGTCACGTTCTTATAGCTCCGACTCTGCTTTATATATATAAAGGATATATATATATATATATATATATATATATATATATATATATATATATATATATATCCTTTAATATAATAAAGGAGACTCGGATGCACAGAAATTCGACATTTGGCATGTCTATGTGGCAAAATTTAAACATGTTAGCACGCCACGTAATATCCGAGTAAACTAGCAGAAATAAATTATATACGATGCACCAACGGATCTCCTGTTGAAAACATTTAACTGTAGATTTTCTACGCGATAATCACTGGCTTTCAACGAAATTCTTTCCTTCAGATTACAACAATACGAACTCCTATTATGATGATAATATAAAATAATTAAAAACAAATATGAAAAATATAAATACTATTTAAAAAATAAATATAATATTTTTTCATTTAATTTAAACAGAAGTTTAGGACCATGCTACATATATTAACCCTTTATCTTACTTCCATATTTAAAAATTACCTACTTAAATTAATAAGTTACAAAGGTTTATTGTGGAAATTTGTGTATAATAACAGTTAAAATCAATAAAGTACCTATATTAATAGAAATTAGAATAGTTTTTTACAAAAAAGATTATTAAGAAACAATCCTAAACAATACTAAATTTGAAAATGATGATAACGAGTATATTAATCATCACATTACTTATATTATGTATGCTGGATAATACTAATATTATTTTGGATCCGTTTACTTATATATGGAAATCTTTATTTATGTGTCTTGGATAATCAATAATATTATATGTTAATATATGTTTTCAGATTACAACAATACGAACTCCTATTACGAGGATAATATAAACAATTAAAAATAAATACGAAAAAATATAAATACTATTTTAAAAAATAAAAAAGAAATATAATAATTTTCATTTAACTTAAATAGAATTTTAGATCCATGCTACATATATTAATCCTTTATCTTACTTCCATATTTATAAATTTCATACTTAAATTAATAAGTAACAAAAATTTATTAATGGAAATTCGTGTATATATAGATTGCGATCAATAGAGTACCTATACTAATAGAAATTCCAATAATATTTTTGATTCCTTACTTATTTGTCTTACTTATATATGGTCATTAATAAAATTTACGGAAAATCTTATTAAAAAATACTCCTAAATAATATTAAATTTGTAAATTATGATCACGGGTATATTATTCATTACCTTACTTATATTATGTATCTTGGATAATACTAATATTATTTTCGATCTCTTCACTTATACATGGCAATCTTTAATTATGTATCTTGGATAATCAATAATATTATATGTAAATATATGTATTCAGATTACAACAATATGAACTCCAATTACGATGATAATATAAAAAATTAAAAATAAATATGAATAAATATAAATACTATTTTAAAAATAAAAAAATTAATATTTTTAGTTAATTTAAATAGAATTTTAGGACCATGCTACATATATTAATCCTTTACCAAGGAATTCTCACCATAATAAAATCCTGTCTAAAATACAAAAGGTAAGTAAATAATTAAATGTGAAACTATCCTAATAGAGTTGTGCGTTAGAAAATGATTTATGCATAGTCATGAATGGTATGATATGATTTCCAAGAATTAATTCCTTAACATATGGTGATTGACAAAATTTACGAAAAATATCAGTAAGAAACAGTCCTTAATAGTACTAAATTTGAAAATTATGATCACGAGTATATTATTCATCACCTTACTTATATTATGTATGTTGGATAATACTAATATTATTTTGGATCCCTTTACTTATATATGGCAATCGTTAATTATGTATCTTAGATAATCAATAATACTCCGTATTGTTCTGGATTCGTTTATTTTTAGTAAGGAATTCGTTATATCTAGAATGGACCCAATATTATTTTAAATTCCTTACTTATTTATCTAACTAACAATGAGTTAAATTGCTTACTTTTATATCTAAATTTATGGAAACTCTTATATACTCGAGTCAAAATCCTATTATAAAAAGAGATATATAATGAGTTGAAATGTGACATCTACCACCCATTTTCATTTTCCATTTCAATACATAGGCATTCAGAATTAATTATGCAATAAATAAGCAGAGAATCATTAATTCAACTTCACCCTTTTGTTTTTAAAAGGATTGGTGATAGGAGCATCCTATTTTTCAATTTCAATTGGGGCTATTGAAAATCAAGTTGACGATACATCATACATGGACGAAATCAGCTAGAGATGCAAGAGAAATGAGAAAAGAAATACTTCAACAAAAAAAAGGATAGAAAAGGTACGTACTTTAAATATTATTTTATCTTAATGTATTTAATTTTGTTTTATTGTTTTAAGGTAATTTGATACATAACATTTTTGAATTTTTTAAAATAACAAAATCAAACGAGATATTGTAGTGACCAGAATTTTGTATTTAAAATTTATATGGTTGCTTTTTAATGAACATTGAAAAATTTTCTTATCTTCATATCTAAATCGTTAGTATTGATAAATTAATTTATGTTAAATAAATAAAGTTTTATACAAAATTTAAAATTAGATGTCAATTTTAGAAGTATTTAACAAGTTCTCCGTGTGAAAATGAACACTCCAAGAAAAGATAAAAATATGTGTACTTTTTTTAATTATAGTCATGTTATTTTATCAATTATAATCTGCATCCGTAAAAAATTAAACATCATTCATAGGTTTCATATAAATCATGGATAATTAAAATGTATAATTGTTAATTTATCTAGGTATGCATATAGCTCACTGAATATTTTTTNTTATTAAGTGTTATTTAATGGATAAAAAGTTTAAGTCTTATATTGAGAAATTAGTTTTGTTTTATTACGATTTAGTGCAGATATGGAAAATGAAAAACTTGAAAAATTATATTGGGAAAAAGTTTGGAAAATGAAAAATGAAAAATTTGAAAAATGAAAAATTTGAAAAAATGAAAAATGAAAAATTTGAAAAAGTTTAAGTCTTATATTGGAAAATGACTTATGTTTGAGAATATGAAAAATTATTCTTTTTTTGAGGATAGAGCACTATTGGCACCAACTCTCGAAGTAGTTGAAATGATAAATGAATTTGTTCCGTCTCTCATTCCAAGTGATGAAAAGGAGTACTATTCTTCGTGCCAAATAGAAGCAGATGTAGGTGTTGATGGCGGTTGGATAACAGTTGAGTTTTTGAACGAAATCAAATGTTCGGGAATCCCAAACCACAAAATAGTCCTGAAAAAGGGGTACATATTATGCTATTGAGGAACATTGACCAAACATCTAGATTGTGTAATGGGACAAGATTAATCGTTCAAGAGCTGCGAAATAATGTTATCCATGCAATTGTGGTTTCGGGAAATCGAGTCAGGGAAAAAGTTTACATCCCTAAAATGAATTTGGTACCATCTGATCCAGGGCTACCCTTGAAGTTCCAAAGAAGACAATTCCCGATCGCCTAATGTTTTGCTATGACTATCAACAAATGTCAAGGTCAAACATTGTCATTTGTGGGGTTATTTTTAACCAAGTCAGTGTTCACGCATGGTCAACTATATTTTCCTGTTTCACGAGTGAAGACAAAGACAGGATTAAAAATATTAGTTCTAGATGACAATGGAAACCCTTGCAACCATACCAAACATGTTGTATACCCTAAAGTCTTTAAGAAAATTTGGTATTAAAATAAACATTGTTAACTCTACATTCTGTTCCTCAAATATTATTTATTTTACTTTGGCTTTTTTCATTTGTAGTATTAAAAATCATGTGAGCAATATATTTTCTTTATTCCGAAAAATAAATTTCATTGAAATAATTCAGAAACGACATCAATTTCTTTCGACCCCGTGCATGGCACGGGTCAAAATACTAGTATATATATATATATATATATATATATATATATATATATATATATATATATATATATATATATATATATATATATATATATATATATATATATATGATATATGATATCTGGTGTATTCAATTTTGGATACAACTAGGAAATTATTTATGGTAAGGATTTTATTTTATATGAAAATGAACATTAAATTATTTAACATTGAGTACTGTTTTATTTTAGAATGAACACTATATTATTTGTACCTAAATATTACGGATTATAATTATATTGAATCAATGTACAAAAATGAATACTGCATTATTTAAGAATGAGTATCACGCTAATTATATTTTTGAAAGAATGACTTGAGAATGATTACTAGCCCCAATGTACATTAGGTACGTACCATATACCTCCTTCCCACATAGAGGAGGGATGCGAGACAGAGGGAGGGGGAATCCAAAGTCCATAGTTGAGTAGCAGTTTTTTCCATTGCTATCGAATGCTTCAACTTCTTCTACACAATCTCCAATCCAACAAGCAGCGCATCAAACGGGTTCATTTCATTGTCCCCCAATTCACTCCTTATCTACCACATTATTCTCTGTTCTCCTCCGTTCCTGTTCATCCTTCGCGTCGATCTTCTCCATCAGCTATAAAACCCACTAACATCCATCCAATTCCGATTAACTTTCGAGGCATTGCAAAAGATGTGATACCAGATTGTTCTTATCTCTTTGATTGCAGCAGCGGTGAGACTTTGGCCAACTCTTCTCTCAAATATTTCATTTTTAGGCTTTCTTGTATCTCCCCAGAAACTGTTCGCAGATTTTGGAGAGTTCATCCGTTAAAACCTCAAGACGTTCTTGAAATTCTTCTGGGTTTTCAATGTGTCTGCAATAATATTTGGCTTGAGGCTGAAAAGATTGAATCTTTGTGGGGGATTTTTAGGCGGGCAAGCCAGCAGAGTAAGGGGTTTGAGCATCTTTCTCAATCTTACAAGATCATGGCCTCCATGCTTATCCGGTCCGGGATGTTTGAGGAGGTTGAATGCTTGCTTTCCATGGCTACAAGTCAGGAAGTTCTCTTCGATGATCATGAAATTTTCAGTAATTTGATTCAAGGGTATGTGGGTGAGCTCCATTTGGAGAAGGCTGTTGCAAGTTATGATAGAATGAGGATTCTAGGCTTAGTCCCATCATTGTCATGCTATGAACTCCTTCTCAAGTTCTTGATTCAACTAAATGTGACCCAACTGGCACCTCAAATTTTTGCGGATGCTATAACTCTAGGTATGGGAAGGACAGTAGCACAAGGGCACATTTATGGGAGTGTTGTTAGGCTTTTGTGTGCAGACGGTAAAGTTCAGGATGCTAGAAATCTTGTCAAGAAAGGTCTTACTCTTGGAATTAAGCCCAGCAACTTAGTTCTCAATGCAATGGTGACTGCGTACTGCGAGAAGAGGGATTATGATGACATACTTAGTTTCTTTGTCGAAGTAAGATGTATCCCCGGTGTTCATGTAGCCAACAAGATCATCCATTCTTTGTGTACATATCTTGGTTCACAGTGTGCCAACTCCTTCCGCCTGAGGCTGGAAGAATTGGGTTTTTGTTCCAACAAAATTACCCTCGGAATTTTGATTGGGTGGAGTTGCCGAGAGGGGAAAATCAAAGACGCGTTCATTTATTTTAATGAGATACTGTCAAGACGTCTCAAGCCACAGGTGTATTCATATGACGCTCTTCTGAGCGGGCTCTTCAAGCAGGGCATGTGGAAGCACTCTCAAGAAATTCTCTATGAAATGAAGGAAACCACAGATGGGCTCCAACTGTCCACTTTCATGGTTCTTTTAGCAGGTCTTTGTAAAGCTAGGCAGTTTGAGGAAGTTAAAGCCGTAGTTTTCGAGATGGCAGACTGTGGTTTCATCCAACCAACACCTCTGGAAGATCCACTTAGCAAAGTGTTTACAGTTCTGGGACTTTGTCCCACTGCTGTGAAGATACGGAGAGACGGTGAGTTGGGATATTCTGAGGCAGAATTTTATGATAACCTTGGAAATGGACTTTATCTGGACACGGATCTCGAAAAGTACGAGGCTGCCATGACAAAAGTACTTGATGATGCCATTCTTCCTGATTTTAAGTCCCAAATATTGAAGAGTATCCAGAGTAAAAGCATCAAAGAAACTGTGATGATGGTGGGCAATATGATTAATTGGGGGCAAGAGTTGTGCTTGCCTTTGTTCTCAACATTAGTCAAAGGTTTTTGTGAAGGCCGTGCGAATTTGAAGACAGTTATCCATCTGTTTGAGGAAAATCTTAAGTTCTATCATCAGCTTGATCATGAAACATTAAATACTCTAGCTCAGACTTTTGGCAAAAAAGGTTTGGTGCAAAGAGCCAGAATAATTGTAAATGGGATGCTACTGAGGTGTCAAAATGTTGAGAATCGAACACATACTATTCTTTTAATTGGGTTATGCAACAAGGGTGATGGAAGAGCTCTAGCCAACTATTGGCATGTTGCACAAAAATACAACTGGTTTCCTGACATAAAAGATGGCAAAACTCTTCTCCATTGCCTATGCCGACATGGATTTCATGGCAAAGCTATAGAGCTATTAGAGGCCATGCTAGTGCACCACCCTCATAAGGACTTTGGTTGCTTTAATGAGTTGCTTGAG